TACAGCCACGATTGACGGTCAAAAAGCATCTTTATTGTTTTCTCTTTAAGTCTTGTGACCCACTTTTCTTGATTTGTTTGTCCTTCCCCCCCCTTTGTTTTTGGGCTGAGGTGAATTGTAAATTCTGTGTGTGTGCGCGCATGTGTGTGTACCTTTATTCTCCCGAGAACCCGAGCTGCAATCCTTCCTCGGGTTGAAGAAAGGATGAGGATTAGGTGGGGCGTGAAGTGATGAGAGTTGTAGTTTTGAGTTAGGGAGGAAAGGTTTGTGTGTATAGCATTTTATTTGATTTTAGACCTGTTTGGTCCAAAAGATGCTTTATGCTTAAAATAAACAGCACACAGTCCTCATACATAATATTTAAATGTGGCAGGGCATAATCATCTTAATGACAGCACTTTATCAGATATATGTTGGAAAGAAACATTCATAAATGTGTTCAGAATTATTAAAATAGGGAGCTGAAAAGCTGCTGAACTACAACAAAAAAGCAAATACAGCATGCATATTAACTAAATGGAACAGCTTCTTTTCACATTATTATAACATTCAGGTTGTGTTTGAACTGTTTAAATTTACACATCACTCAAACAGAGAGGAAGGTTATTAATAGTACTAATTACTAATAAAGTCATGTTTTTTGCAGTCTGATAAATATCCAATATTATAGTCTTTTTAATTCATTTTTGGCCTCCATCCTCCAAAGGAAAACGTCTGGCTCTATCATCTAAATGCTCGATTATGTTCACCAAATAGAGTCTTCCTTTTGTTGCAGAATAGGTAGCACACAGGAAATCAAAAAAGAAATTAATAAATAAAGGAGGGTTAATGAGGCTGTAAGAGCCTTGAACTTGTCATCACAAAAGCAGGATAAACATGGAACATACTAAAACTCTGGGCAGGCTGGCAAACCTCTGTAATCTATACAAGTGCCACCTTTCACATTACACTCTAAATGAGCCATTGTGCAAATGGAACTATTGATTAGTGCAGCTCTGAGTAAACATTGGTCCAAATCTATGTCTGTGAAATCTGCAAACTATTTTTTATGTCTAAAGACATCACCGTTCGCACCAAAGGGGACAGCATTTAATGAGCAAATGTGTGCATTTATTTCATTTTTATTTTTTATTTCAATGTCATAAAACTGAACCTCAATTGCGTGCCATTTTTGTGGGTAATTTAAAGGATTATGGGAAATTCTTCAGGTGCCAGCGCTAAGAAAGAGCACCCTCTTTGATCTGCTTCATCAGCCTGTGAATACGATAAAGCAACCAAATATGATTCATTTATTCAGGAACTGTATGCTGTGGCTTTGTGTGGTTCTTAATGAGTAATCTTTCAGGTTCTGTAGGAATCTTTAATAAGTGCCATTTAATGAATGAAACACATTGTGTGGCAAGTCATTAACTTTGAAAGCAACAGTGATTGCTTTTGAAGGATTAGGGCACTTTTCTTTGCATTTAAATGTGTCGCGTTAATTTTTTCTGGAATTATCATCTTTGTAGTCAGGAGATAAAGCTCAGATTAGAAAAATACTGTTAATGAAAAGATTTCTCCATACGCTTTTTAAGAATTTGTGCTTGTGTTTAATGCTGTTGTGGTGATTAAAGTATACACCGCACAGCGGCACTAATCGCATGAGCCAGTCATTGGATGTCAGTGTTGACACATCTCTGATTTTTCTGATACAGATCAATCATGACAGGGGGACAGACAGATAATGCCTCCCCTGGCAGCAAAAATGTCCCCTTGTATGTGTTTGCTTTTGTGACAGCATCTTTACATTATCCTCATCATGCTTCAGACCCCTAAACTATTTGGAGTGACGGCACATTTGAGGGCACAAAGGAGTCACAAATCATTGCCGGTGTGTAAACAAGGGACCAGTCATTATGGACAATTACTCCATGTCAAAGCATTCTCATAGTAAAGACTACATGATTGATGTGATCACTCTTTTCCAGTCTGAATTCAGCATCTATTTTAGCACGACTGGAGTCTTTTTACCAACTAACGTCAAAGCTGAAATCATTTTGAGGTTGATGTCATAGTTTGTAAGGTGGTGTATAAGTGCTTTTTATGCTTTCATGTTAAAAACACAAGCAATGGATACGAGACAATTAAAGCTTTGCATCAGAGAAAGGTTCTGAGTAAATGAATCAAAATGAACATGAATGAGAAAAAAAGGCATCAGAGATAAGCCAATTTTTGATCTGCTACTTGAAGAGTAGGTGAAGGAGTACATAACATACTGTTACTGTTGGATGCTAAACTTTAAGCAACTGGATAAACAATCGATATACAAAAAAGCCAAATCAGTAAATGACTGTTATAGATAGCTAGATGAATAAATGTCCAGTACTGTGCTAAAGTTTTTTTTTTTGTGAACAACATTTTATTGATTTAGAACGGGGTTGGGGGGGGGGGGGGGGGGGGGGGGGGGGGGGGGGGGGGGGTGGGGTGGGGGGGGGGGGGGGGGGGGGGGGGGGGGGGGGGGGGGGGGGGGGGGGTACAGACATATACAGCACAACTGTAAACTGCAGTAGCAAAGCAAACATTGGTCACAAGGCATAGGGACAGCAAAGAAAAAACACAAAAACACAAAGTCAAAACCAGTTATTGCCTCTTCCAGGAGATAACTTTGGATGAGAAGATTTTCCAAGCTTCAACAGTCGTGGGTCGAGCTTTATTTAATTTTGCTGTGGTATGTTCAAAATTAATAACACGGATAAGACATCGTATCCAGAATGATTCCATACAAATGTCAGGACTGAACCATTGCTTTGTAATAGTCTTCTTTGCGGATGTGAATCCAGCGAACAACATTTTGCATTGTATTTGTTTTAAGGAGATTTCAGAGGTATCATTAAGGAGACAAAGACCAGGATTCGGAATATAAAAAACTTCCAGCACCTCAGATAACAAAGAGTTCACAAAGACCCAAAAATTGGATACAACAGGACAGTCCCAAAACATGTGCAAAAACGTGCCTGGTGACGAATCATTGCAGATGTGACAGTGATACGTAGTTTCATCTGGAACCTCCTATAGGGTGTAATGTATGTTCTGTGTATGGTTTTGAAATGAATTAATTGATGCGCCAGGTTCTTAGTACTGTGCTAAAGTTTTGAGCTACCCAGCATTTCATTATATTTAGCTTTCAAAGAGCCAGACGTTACGTCCGTGTAGTCATCCAGGTCATGGTAGACTAAGGATCTCGGAAAGAAAATGACTAGACTTTCTTGAAGATGCTTCACCTCTTATCCGGGATCCTTCTTCAGTTCTAAAACCAAATGATGAAGAATCCCAGATATTTAAACCCAGATGGGGGCTGTTTGATAAGAGGATTGTTAACCTACTATTAACCATGTCCCTCGTTGCATGAGTCAAAGTGTGGAAAAAGGCGTGGATCATTACAACCAAAGGTTTCGGGTGAAACCACCAAGATCTTGTCTCACCGTGTCATGTGACCTATTGAGGTCACTTCACTCAAGATATGACTGAAGGTCGAGACACTTGAGGCACTTCTCAAAACTGCATTGTAGGTGGCTGACAGTGTTGTAAGCTGAAAAGCCAGACTTTCTTGTAATTTCAAAGCAGTCTTAAACAACAGTTCTACAGGTTTTCTGAAGGTCTTTCAAAGTTAATTTTTGGAAATTGGCTGCTTTTTCACTCATTTTCAGTCCAGTATGCTAAAAAACACAAGGTTTTTGTTTGTTAAACCACTTAACACTAACCTATGAATCATTCGAGCACAAAAAAGTCATCTAGCTCAAGGGATAAATCAGTGTTGTGTCTAAACATAACAGTAACTTAGCAAAGAGCCAATTTTAAATTGTATCTTTAGGCACTTTGTTACTAGCAGCCTGTCACAAAACACATAAATTGTTCTTATTTATTTAGTTGAATCTATGAAAAATGGCAAAGATAACACAGTTTGACAGGAATAAAATAGGATTTTTCCCCATCAAGGTAATTCCTAACCAGCTATTAGCTGAAAACTTGGCATATCTCAGCATGCTGTGCCCTTGTTTGAGGAAAATAGACAAGGAAAAAGGAAAGAGTGGCAGGCCTAAACAACCATTTACAGCACATAGACTGTATCTTAAATTTATGTCTCTATGAATTAGGAAAAATACAACAAAGACCTGACACATACATACTGTCCTTCTCTGAAACCTCATCAGAAATGGTGTGAGGGGAAGGGTGGCCTTTAAGAAGCCATCCTTAAGAAAGTGAAACAAGAAGAAAAGGCTGAAGTAAGCCAAATCACACAAGAACTGGACTGAAAATCTGTGTCAACAGGTCATTTGGAGTGATGAATCCAAATTTGAAATTTCTAGTTAAATCATTAGCAATATGTATGGATGAGGTCAAGAAAGAGGTACAACAATGAGTGTCTACAGCCATCTGCAAAAGGAGGGTGGAGCGTCTGTTATGGTCTGGGGCTACATTTCAGTCAGTTGGGTCAGAGATCCGATCAAAATTGATGGAATGATGAACATGGAAAAGTACCGTCAAATTTTGATCCACCATGCAATACCATCTGGATTGGCAACAGCTTCATATTTCAGCATGACAACGATCCCAACCCAAAGACATTGCCAATGCAGTAAAATCAGTCATGGATTGGCCTCCCCGGACCTCAACACTATTGAAGCGGTGTGGGATCATCTTGACCAAGAACAGAACAAAAGGGCAACATCCAAAGATGATCCAAACTCTGTTTTTTGCCTCATATGTTGTATTCTATTTATGTTTGCATGTTTCATTAAAGCACTCCACCTTTATCCCATTTCCCTTACAAAGTATAAACAACTATAACTATAACTATTCTAACTATAAGTACTATATTTGAAATATTTGAAACCCTTCAGCTTAAACTGAGTTGGGGTTTTGGTTTTTTTTTGCTCAAACTTGACAGGCAGTTCTGGTGAAAATGAGACAAAGTGTTATATATACAAACTTGGAAACGCCCTCTCTGGTTCTTTCATCAGGTGTCATCCGAACAGCTCTGCCAAACATGGACCGGGAGACGAGGGATCAATATGTTCTCGTCATCCAGGCCAAAGACATGGTTGGCCAAATGGGTGGCCTCTCCGGCACCACCTCTGTAACGGTCACGCTCACAGATGTCAATGACAACCCGCCTCGGTTCGCTCACAGTAAGACTCTTTTCCTGATTGTCCTTACTGGGTTGATTAAGCTTATAGCCTAAATGCCATATTCAACAGCTACTCAGCAATCAGAATATAACCGGCTCCTTTCTTTCTTTTTTCCCCTCCTGGCTGAATGAAGCGTTAAAGATCTATCATTATTACTGAAAAACTTCTTGAACTTAGAGAACCAAATGAGGGCATACTTTGTAATGTATGCAATGAATGCAGCGGTGCAAAAGGCTGGGTTGTTGTTTCACCCTTGGAAAAAAAAAATCATTTGAATTTATTACAGTTGCTGTAACAACAAGCCGTAACGAGATTTCTTTTCTTTTTCCACAATGTGTGGTAAAATAAAGTTGGATAGAAAATACTCAGACCTCTTACAAGCAAAACACACTCATTAAACTTCATCTCACGAGTTTCCAAGGTTATTTTTAAAATCTTTCTTACCCTAGTGTCTCTTCATATTTCCAACTTGTATTTTCAGCAAACATTTGGACTTTTAATGCCAAATTAAAAACCAACCTTCCTGCGAGGTGTGCACCTCTCTGCCTTATTCTTCATCAGAGCTGGTGTTTGCTTCAGTGTTGGATACCAGGATCAATCAGACTGCCTTTTTTTTCTCTTTTTTTGTTGTCAGCCTATTTCACGGGCTGCTAATGGGTTCCAGGCCGAGCTTTAGGATTCAAAGGCATGCAGCGCTTCTCATGATAATCCGAAGCGCCAGCAATCGGTTTACTGCTGATAGCCCAACCGCTGTCTGGCTGGTGCTCTCACCACTGGACTGCCATGAAGCCGAGTCAATTTGCTTGTCCCTGGGGGGAAAGAAAGGTTCAAGTTTGCACAACAAGTCGTCAGTGTCGTTTTAACCCAGTGCTGTCACGCAGAGAAGAAAGAGACTTTGGAGTTCTCGATTTTGCTCCAGCAGTCGAGCTCACGGGGTCATGGGTCAGAATCGATACGCCATCATGGAGCATCGGAGCTGATAGAGTCCAAGAGCAATAGCTAGTCCAAGGGGAAAGACACCAAGGTTAGCTGCGTGAGAGGACAGGCTTTGGGAGAGGAAAGGGCAGGAGGTAGGTGAAGGGGCAGTACAGAGGGAGGAAAGCAATTTTTTGGTCTTTTAAAGAGCTGCTGCTCCACGGCAAATTAAAAAGCCATTATAAAGATTACATGGCAGCAAACAATGTCAGGGAGATTAGCATTTAGACGGAGGCTGAGGGAGACACTGTGAGGAACACAGAAAGGTCTGGTAATGAGCTCTGCCATGGTGATTGGGGAGATTATGATTATGAATATGATTCCCTTCTTTATTCTCATAAGAGTACTTTAAATCTAGAGGGTCACACAAAAGCTCAGGGAACACAATGGAGAGTTTTGGAGTAATAGAATCTTTGAGTGGACATTTCATTTCATAAAAAAATGTACCACAGAAATCTTAGCGTGACTCCAGTTTTCTTTCTTTTTTTATTACTTTCTCTTTTTTGCATTTGGGAGGATAACCTGTTACATTCAGACAGCCTTTTGAAAGTTTTGTGTTTTGCAGATGATATTGTTACAGAACCCGAATTTAAAGGACGGGGAAATATAAAATTAGCCTTTGACGTTTTTGATTGCATATTTTAATTTTCCAATGCTTTTCTCCGCAGTCTATTCAGAGCGCCACCATGAAGTTGAAACAAAACGCTTTATTTCATGTGTGCGACTGCTGCTGCCTGTCTGTTTTATGTAACATGAATTCATCAAGGAGACACCCAGTCAAATCAAAGCTGAAGGGCTACAGCACGAGCCGTAGCTGCTCGAAAGCGAGTTGGCGGTGAAATAAGCACATCCATTACCAGCATCCACTCCTGTCCTTCTCTTTCCAGAGAACTATCAGTACACGGTGCTCGAGTCCCTGCTGGTGCAATCTGTTGTGGCCAGAATAAAAGCGGTGGATGCTGATATAGGCTCCAACGCAGAGATGGACTACAGGATCATGGACGGCGATGGGCCCGGCATGTTCAACATAACGACAGATGAGGACACACAAGATGGGGTCATAATGCTGCTGAAGGTACAGCTTGAAAAACAGCCTGGTTTTATTACCTAAGAGCTTATTCAGGAACCCAACTCAGTCAGCTTGTGAATAGAACTGCTGAACCAAGACTTGTTTGTACCAAGACTTTTGTAACCACAAAGGGTCCTGAACCTTCACTCTTGAAAATCAGTGAGACAGGCTAACATTTTAGGGCTTTGTACCCAAGCTGGTGAGACACTGAAAGCTGCCTGGCATCCAGATTGGAGTGGTGTGGGTATACAAGCAGTGTGCAAACTGATCTTTTTTCTCTCTTTTTCCCCATGCAACTATTTAACATTTAATTAATAAACATTTAGATGAAGTGGGAGAGAAACTTTATTTTATATTGTTAACACATAAGCCACCTGCTGCTTTAAGTATTTACTAAAACTTTACTGATCTCCAGCAAAAAATAGTCCCAAACAGCTGAAATATTTCACTTCTAAAAGCTGCACCTTCCAGCTGTTCAAGTTTTGTGTTCTTTTTTACGTTTAGCATCCTCGGTAGGACTTCGGAGCTAAGCGGCTGTAGGACTGTTAAGTGTTATGAGACAAGCTTAGGCTGAGTTGGCATCAGTCAACACAACAGTTGCCAGCTAGAAGAAAAAAAGAATAAAGCCAGATGTTTCCTTTAATTAATTAAATGCACCCGTGTCACAGATGAATCACGCGTTTCTGAAAACAGTGATATGAAATTCTACTACCATACACATGGTGATGCAATATTTTTATATAGGAATAATGACGGTGCCACTGAATCTCAGTGCACTGTGGTCTGTTTGTGCCAGACAGCAAACACTTGTTTTATGAAGGATATTAGGATAAGTTCCTCTCCCTGGTTTTCCTTTCTCCGCTTTGCCCTTCCTACTGTGTTTTAAATGTCAGCAGAACCTTTGGATTAAGTGCTAATCACTAATGACAAATCAGCGCTGACTATTTCCACCTCTTGTGATGAAATAAACATCACGCGGTCACCGAAAAGTTCACTTCTCCTGTCGTCTCAAACTCAAGAAAAGACCCAAACTCAGCAAAATAACAACGGCGCTACTGGCACCAACTACATAAATAAAGAAAATTGTCAAGTTAAATGTAAAAAGTAATTTATTCATTTCTAATGGAAAAAGAAAATGTTGTGCGTTCCCACCTTAGTTTTGCATGCTCCGTAGCACATGGCTGATACATCACATTTCAGGGTTTCAAAGGGCTTGAAAATGGTCTCCGCGGGCCACATTGATGTGACACTTCATTGCTGGCACTCTTTTGTGGGAGAGGTAGGGCCATTGTTGGCCACAAGCAATTCTTGTCAGATGGGCCAATTTAATCCTTTGTTTGTTTTGCACCAAACTCAGACAATTACAACATAGGAGAGATTCACAGACAATGAAAGTGTCAAATCAATGTTCTCTTGCAGTATATTATACGTTGCTATGGGGAGTTCAATAAGCCAGACAAAATGACAAAAATGTTTCAAAAGCGTTCATTTCAGCGTGCTTTTCACCATGTTGTGAGACTTGCTTGAAATCAATATTACTGCTTTCACAGCACAAAGTAACTATAATCCATCACCAAATCACTTTGTTTAAGTCTAACTGTGTGTTAAATTGTAATGGGTCTTTAGAGTCCACGTCCTTAATTGTGATCAATATCTCAGCATCGTCTGAATGATTTACAGATTTACATACATAGTAACTGTTCCTCTAACTGTGAATGGGTGAAAATGCAGAGCTGCAATCCTGGTGTAGTTTTTATTTCTCAATTCTAAAAAGAGCTAAACATTTCCGACACCTCTTGTATTTTGATAAGGGAAGCGAACGTTTCTCTCAATGTTTTCTGTATTCTCCCTGTCTGCCTCTCCTCCAGCCTTTAGACTTTGAAACAAAGAGCAGCTTTTCTCTGAGAATCGAAGCCACAAACAGGAATATCGACTCCAGCTTCTTGAGCTTGGGACCGTTTAGCGACACGACATCAGTCAAGGTGACGGTGGAGGATGTGAACGAGCCGCCCGTCTTTTCCACACTGTTGAGCAAGATGGTCGTTTCAGAGGACGCCAAAGTGGGCACCTCGATCGGGAGAGTGTCTGCCCATGACCCAGATAACTCCAACAGTCCAATCAGGTGCTAATGATTTATTCACCCGATTCAGACGTTAAAATCCCAATTTGTTTAAAAATGTGTTTAGTCCACATTATCGACAAACTCAGAATCCGTAGACCCTCCGACCTCCCCGTGTGGCGGTCATAAAGACAGTGCCAGATGGTGGTAGGGAAGAGGAGTGCCGCATTTGCAAAAGTGAAATGCCATCTTGAACAAGAGAAGGGCATTCCTGCTGGAGGGTGAAGGCTCAACACTTGTGCCGTGGCATTTATGGCTCAAAACAAGCACTCACATTGTCAGTCTGCGTGGTGTCACTCACAAGATCCCCCCACCAACCCCTACCTC